CCCCAAAACCCCAAAACCCCAAAACCCCAAAACCCCAAAACCCCAAAACCCCATTCTTATAAAATATTATAGAAATATTCCTTCCTGTTCATAACATGTTCAACGGTACGGACATTGCTGAGAGCCAGCATATTGGTATAGAGCTTGGACTTTTCGATGGAAATCTGGGGTTGAAACATTTTAGGGGCTTCAGAGAGAGTCAGGACCTTATTCAATGGGGGTCTATTTGAGTATAAGAATGCTTTTAGATCGAGTTAAGGCTCTTGATTAATATTGATAAAGCAAGCATTTTTGTAACTAAAATCTCATTTAATGGACTAAATCTCTAAAACTGTATATATTTAGAAAATAGATACCTAGGCTTCTCACAAATTGAACGAAAAGTATTGACACCATCACAGTCTTTCACCAGAAATCAAAATGAAAATTCGCCATCACTTCTCGGTTTATTTTCTTCTGGGCGTAAACAAAGAGTAGCTTCCCCTTTTAAGAGCTCTTTATCCAAAAGTAGGTATTTCTGCTTATGAATCTTATTGGAACAGTGTGATAATTTGTGCTAAATTTACTCAAAAATATTTAGAAATAGGAAATTTTAATAGTCAGGGTAATCTCACAAAGAAAACAAGCATTCTTAAGAATCCGTCCTCCCTCGCTAACTCTCCTTCTGGCAAGAAGAGAGTGTGGTATCAGGATGGATTTGATGCTAGTAAGTCCCAAGTTGCTTATTCAAAATCTAAATTGACTTTGTTTATGTTCAGAATCTTAGTTGAATTTATCTAAACTTTTAGACCAAAGACAAATGTCTCTCTTAAATGAAGCAAAGATCAAGATCAAAGCTCTCGCTGATCTTAGTTCTAATGAAGAAATTGAAGGTTAGCCATAATCTCATATTTGTAGATGACAGTATGGTTAGTAAAAATCGGCTTCAGAAGATCAAAGAGGCTATTGAGTAATTTATCTACAATCCTTATAGGAATTCTGAAGTTTCAAATTCACTGAATAGCTCAAAAACATCGACTACTTCTATTCTCCCTACTCAGCATGGAAAGTTCCTTAAGCGTACACAAAAGAGTATTTTTGTAGTTAATTTTAGTGTCTGCTAAGGAAATCAAGAGGTTCATTGAGAAGCATAAGAATGACCCAAACTTTCCAGAAAGTGCATCGAAACGTGACGAAATAATAAATGCCCAAATATCAGCATTGCTAAAATTAAGAGGTAAGCTCTTGAAAGTTGTAACAACTAGAGCCAAGGTCGCAACCAAATATCCCAAGACCTCCACAAAACAAAATTATGTCTCCGACAAAGAGAACTCAGACGAACCTGAGTAACAAAAAGTAGGTTTCTTTGTAACCGATCAGGCCACTTGGATTTTCTTACCTAAAGATGTTAGGGAGCAGTAAGGATGAAAGAGGGTAAGTGGAAGTCTAACCTCAAACAGGCGGAGAAGGACTGATTTCCAACCTCAGGTACCATCAAGCCCTTTGAATCTATCTTTTTCAAACCAAAAGTCGATCCAAAAATCAACGGTGGTAAGTCCTAAACTCTGAGCCCTAGTCGTCTAAGAACCAGAGCTTCAGTTCGAATCATTCAAGAGGAACTTCTAATTCGAAGAAGCAATGGGCTATTAACAAAGCTCTTGGGTAAATTTGCTTCTAAATCTGTAGCAAGAGTCCTAACTCAAAAGGCATTAAGATGCTGGGTGACATCGGTAAGGGAAATACGCTGGGAAAAGCCATGATGGGACATCTCAAATAATTTCATGGAAGAGAAAGACCAACACGGTAAGCTTCTTAAGAGATTGAATCCTCTGACACGGTTTAGATAACCCCATCGGTGCTGAAGAGGAAGCAAGTGGAAGTGAGAAGTATGGGTATTCAAGAGAAGAGTTTAGTGAGCCCCAATCGCATATTTTGTAAGGAAAATTGGTTATTTTATAGGAGCTATGAGAGTAAAGTAGACCACCTTGAAAACCTTGGCAAAGCTCCTGTGATTGATATTGATGCTGAGATCAACAGAGATAAAGAGCTACGCAAGCAGATGATTTATATGAAATATAAACAAAGGAATGAAAATATTCGGGAAAACGCTAAATATCGACCGTAAGCTGCTTCTTAAACCGTATAGTGGAAAATTGAAGAATTATTTTGGTACTTACTCTCAAAAATAAGGTGAGGAAACCGAAAAACAAGAATTTCGACTACACTCAAAACTTCACACCTTATCATTCCAAAATTCTGGTGCTAAAACCATCAATCAAGAACCCTGGTAGGACTAAGAAGGAGCGAAAAGCTGCTGAGAACTTTCAAGAAAGGAAAAATCCAGTGATTCTTCAAAAAGAGTTCTACTTCACTGACAAAATACTGCATAATAAGACTAGTGACCGTCTAGCACATCTAAAAGGCGGGCTATGATCTCTCCTCGAGACAGGCTCTACTCAAGACTATAATGATAAATTCTTTTAATATCTTGCCAATGCTGAGGTCTGGTCATATATATCTAAAAAATAAAGTTTCGGTATATTTGTGTCTCAATAGGGGATTTAAGACCAGGGGTTTTGGGGTTTTGGGGTTTTGGGGTTTTGGGG